GCCTTCTGAGCACCCACCCAGGCAGGATGACTGTCTTAAACAGGGCACGGAGCAACCATCCTTTAAAAAAGTTTCTTTTTAAAGCAGCGTTTCTCAAGCTTGGCCATTTTAAGAAGAAGGGGGGACTTCAACTTCCCCATAACCGTCTTGATCAACAGAGTCAGGGGGGTAGCAATTTCTGGACATGAACTCTTCACAATCCGGAGGTGTCACCCACCCACCTGGAAGGTCTCGCGTTCGAGACGCACAATGACCCCGACGGTCTGGGGGTCCAGCAACACTAGTTCTCCCAGCTCATGCTGGCCCCCCACATCCACACCAGAGGCGGTTTCGGAGCAGAGTTGAAGGTCTCGGGGGAGAACTTTGAGCTGTGGAGGTGGGGAGAAACAGGAGTTTAGTGTTTCTGGCAGATGTCTCATGACCCAACTACGTAACACCATCAGTGCTAGAAGGGAGTGGGGTTTGTGGAGAGGAGGAGAAGGACAACAATGACTGTGGGGTCCTTGATGCTTTCTGAGCTTGGTTGTTGTTTTGCAGATGTTTCATTATCAAACTAGGTAACATCATCCATGCTAGAAGGGAGTGGGGCTTGTGGAGAGGAGGAGGAGGAGGAAGAGGGGAAGAGGAGTAAGATGACGACTGTGGGGTCCTTGGTGCTCTCTGTGCTTGTTTTCTTGCAGATGTTTCATGACCCAACTAGGGAACATCATCAGTGCTAGAAGAGAGGGGGGTTTGCTCTCTGTTTATATACTAGTAGCTTGCCTCTCTGTGTAGGTGGGGCGAGTTCTGCAGAGATTCATCCAATAGTTGCCTCAACAGTGTGAAAAGACGGTTGTCTTCATCCCATATCAAAGGAAGCCTCCAGCACGATGCTGGGGTCCAGGTAAGAATGCCCCCAAAATGACCCCACCAACCAGAGATCAATTCAGCGACCAATCAGGATTACAGATGGGACCACGTGACATGAACTACACCCCCTAAGAGGCATTAACTACATTTCCCATGAAGCTCAATTCCCTTAAAGGGGCAGCTCTCATTCCTAAACTAATCATATATTGTCTAACCAGCACAGTCGTGAAACAGAGAGCAACCCCCACCATTCCCTTCCAGCACTGATAATGTCCCTTAGTCGGGTCATGAAACGTCTGCCAAGAATCAGCCAGCCTCAGAAAGCACCCAGGAGCCGGCAGTCCTCCTCTCTCCTTCTCCTCCACTCTGCGCACCCCCCAGCTAGAGCTGTAACTCCAGAGCAGATGCCTCGCAAAGAGCCCCACCCCACCCCGGAATTCTGTCGGGGCCGCTTGGCCACTCACCTCGTGCATCGTCAGGTCAGAGAAGAGGATGACAAAGTTCTCCTCCACGCGGACAATCAGCCCCGTGTCGCCCTCAAAGCGCCCGGCGATGACCTTCACGTGGTCTCCCATTTTGAAGTATTTGCGCAGCTCCTGAGCTGGGAACTCCAGCATGTCCTGGAGGGGGAGGGCGACCAAAGAGCAGAGGTTGGGGGACAAGAGCTCTCCCTGCAAAGAGGGAGCGGGGGGGGGGTCTTTGTTGGATGGGAAATGAGGGTCTGGCCCTTGCAGAGGAGACTTCGGCGGTCCAACGGAAATTCTCAGCCTTCGCCACTTTTAAGATGTGTGGACTTCAACGCCCAGAATTCTGGAAGTTGAAGTCCACTCATCTGGCTGGGGAATTCTGGGAGGTGAATTCACACATGCTGGCTGGGGAATTCTGGGAACTGAAGTCCACTCATCTTAAATGTTGCTAAGGATAACAAGCTCCGACTTATAGGAAGGGCTCACGTAACACCTCTAGGCAAATGGGGCTTCCTCAGGGCAGGGGGGGCCTTTAAGGATCAAAACTAAAGGTCATTTGTACAGGAGAATAAAGAAACCACAGGAATGCACACCGTCTAAAGAAGCGGATGCTGGGAGTCTTTTTCCTGCTCCAAAGGCCTGGAAGACAACCGAGTTTACACGATCCTGGGTGAGATGGTTAACCCAGGTTTGCCTTCCCAGGCCAGAGAGGGACCACCTCTCTCTCTCTTGGGTAGAGAGAGAGAGAGAGAGAGAGGTAGCTGGTTCTCAGTCCCACAGCCAAAGTCGGCTCCTCATTTCCTCAGGCCCCACATCCAGAAGGGTGAATTGCACTTTCCAAAGAGGCCTTTTTGGAAAGAGGAAACTGGCTGTCAACTCATAAAGCGTCCCTATGCCTGTTTTAGTAGTTGCCATAAAAAAATTTAAAAAGGGGAGGGAGGAAGGAAATCTGGAAGAGCAGTTGAAAGCAAAAGTACATTCCATCTCTTTATCTTTAAAAGATTGTAGCTAAACTACCAGAGCTTTTGCCTGGGAATATATTTCATTGGGGAACGTGAAGGAGGATGCCCAGCCCGTGAACAGTGCTTACTTAGTTGGAGAATCTGATTTATGAGACACCGAGGGGGGAGGGAGGGAAACAGAGGACTGTAAATTACATAAGCCAGAGTTGGCTTGCTGTCAGGATTCCCAATTAAATCTTGGGTCTGGAGCCAAACTTCAAAAAACTTCAAAGGATTTGTTAGAGGATTTGTTAATTTTTATAGTTGCCACTGGCAGGCCTGGGACGGCTTCCCCAAAACAGCCCAAACCGTCACCGTTGAGTGGCCAAAAGCAAGCCCAACTCCCAGGCTGACGCTGAGAGCCAGAGAAATGGCCAAGGGGTTCCTCCCCACCTTGAGGTCTTCATGCCTGGGCATGATGGTGATCTTGTTCCCATCCACGCTCAGGATCTTCCCCTGCAGGTTGATCAACTCCCCTTCGCACACCTCCACGTTGTCTCCCGGCTGGAAGTTGTGCTCCCGTTCCTTCCCTGAAACCACAACAGGAAGGCGTGACGATGCACCGTCCAGCGGCCTCCTGCGGGGGGCCTCCTGACGGGCAGAGGGGTAGAACCAGAAGCCAGGAAAGGTGGCCTGGTCCCAGCTGAAGGACACCTGAGGTCCTCCTTCCTCCCAGGAGCCCCGAAGGACCTGCCACGTCAAGGCTGCACCCCCTCGGGAGGAGGGACGGAAGGCAGGAGAAGGCGGCAGGGGAGGCACCTGTGCTCTCGGTCACCACCTCCAAGTCGATCCCTTCGGGCTGGTCCTCAAATTTCTCCAGCTCGGACAAAGTGGGCTTCACTCCGTCGGTGATCTGAAGTCAGAAAAATAATACTTTATTGTCATTGCACGTATACGCATACCATGAAACTCACATAACACCCAGAGACCAGACCCAACACGCACACACACACACACACAATCCCCAAACACCTCCCCACCCGCCAAAATTCCCCGCTTCCGAAAAACATACAAGCATCCACACAACAGACCAAGCAATACTGTCCCAACAGCTCACTGATGGTGGTCCTTGACTTCATTGTTAAGTGCCATTTTATAGCTCTGGGATAAAAACTGTTCAGGAAACTCGTGTGATCCCAGTTTCAGTTCAAAAGAGCCGGCAATTGGGGAGATGGGGGGGGGGGGGAGGGAATTAACCCAGAGAGGATCCTAGAGACAGGAACCAGAACTGGACCCCCCAGGCGGGCAAGGCTTCTTTTGCCGATAAGAAGAGAATCTCTGTGGCTCAGGTTGCAGATTGGGATCCTTGGGGGTCCTCTGTGCTTGGGGGTTTCCTTGAAGACATTTCCTCACCCAACTAGGGAACATCATCAGTGCTAGAACTGAGGTGTGTGTGCGTGTGTGTGTGTGTGGGGGGGGGGGGGAGGGGTGGGGGGTGGAGGACGACAGCTGTAGGGTCCTTGCTACTCTCTGAGCTTTCCTTGCAGACGCTTCATTACCCTACTAGGTAACATCATCAGTGCTACAAGAGGGTGGGGGGGGGGGGTTGTGGAGAGGAGGAGGAAAAAGTCTGTGGAAACCTTGATGCTCTCTGATGATATACTAGTGGCTAGTATACTCAGTAGTGATGATGTGACCTGGTTTGGTACTGCAACGTTTTAATTTAGTTTGGTTTACTTTGTCCTTGCACCTCGTGCAACGAAATTAAATGCCGCCTACCAGGAAACCACCAAGGAACCCCTGCCCCCCCCACCCCCCCCTCGCCTTTGGCCTCCATTTCAGAAACCACACCCTGCTAGCCCTGATGACATTCCCCAGCCTTAGAAACATTCGGCATTAGAGACATTCAAGAATGAACAAGAGGCTAGAGGAAAAGGGACAATGAGCCGATGGGTGGGTGGGTTGGTGGGGCGTGAGCACCCACCCCAGGCTCCGAAGAAGAATCCCGCCCCCTCCAAGCAGCCCCCCCCCCCCCCCCCCCCCCCCCC